ATATATATATATATATATATATATATATATATATATATTTTTTTAAAAGATGACCGGTAAGGGGATCTTAACCCTTGACTTGGTGTTGTCAGCACCACGCTCACCCAGTGAGCCAACCGGCCATCCCTATATGGGATCCGAACCCGCGGCCCTGGTGCCATCAGCACCGCACTCTCCCGAGTGAGCCACGGGCCGGCCCACAAAAGACATATTTTGAGAAAGTGCTGCCACCACTATTCCTACCAGGGCCACGGTAAAGGGACAGATAAAAGAGCCCAAGCTGGCAGGCAGAGGAGCAGCTTCTTTTTTTCCATACACAACTATTTTTTCATGCTTTTCAAAATGAAAATAGATTTACCCAAAATGTCATTCTCATTAGGAGGGGAGGAGGGGACATCCTTCATCCCCAAGAGGAAGAGAAAAACTCCTCTGGGCCCCCTCCCTGCTCCATGACTTGTGGCCTCTCCCCTTCTCTTCCAGCACAGGGCCCTCACCCCGGAAGGTGAGGCGGGAGGTGCAGGTTAGGAGCTGAGCCCTGTGGCCAAGAGGGGAGAGTTAGGGGTGGTTACGGTTCACTGGTAATCTGGGAACTGGTGCGATACTGTGCCACCACCCAGGTGGGACAGGAGGAGGTGTCATTTTCTGTTCTCCCTATTGCTGCTGAAGAGGCCCTTAGGTTGGGAAAGGTGGAGGCCTGCTTCTCTGAGATGACCTGGGCGGGCGATGACCTGGGCGGGCACTGACCAGCACGCCAGCCCCTCTCTCTAACCACGGCAGCCGTGCAGCCCCAGAGGAGCACCCCACAGCTTCCTGAGATTCACTCCATGACACAGGACAGCGGAGAGCAGGGCCCTAGAAATGCCAGGCCCTGCCAGGTAAGAGGTGGCGGTATTCCCATCAAAGCCATCCGTCTGGGCTCACTGGGGCTTCACTCTGGCCTCACCCACAGAAGGGGACAGGGCTGACAGCGGGAGTTTAGAAAGTCACAGGCCCAGTTTAGTTTTGGCTGGCTTGAAGACCTGAAGCTGAAAAATACTCAAGCACAGCACAGCAGCTCCCGGCTCCCCTGTCAGAGCGGGCTGGGCAGGCCCAGCAGGTCAGCTGAAGCCTGTCTCCTGGGGAGCTACTCCCGCCTCTCAGAACCCCGCTGCCCTTGTTCTAGGCCCAACGCTGCAGCCCTGGTTCTCAAACTGGTCTGCACGCCGAGGTCACCTAGGGAGCCTGAAGACATGACCGCTGCCCCCTCAGCCCCGGGGACTCTGCGCCGGCGCTTTGGGAGGAGGCTCGGGCGCCCGGAGTCCCGAAAGCTGCTCGAGCCGTTCCGCCGTGCGGCCAAGTTTGCCAGCCGCCGAGAGGACGGCAAAGTCACCTCTCCACGGCCCCTGCCCTGGGACACAGCGGTGCAGAGGAGACGCGAATGGCTCGGTACACTTGCTGAAAGACGGCAATAAAACATTGTTTAATCTTTCTGTCAACCTGCTTACGCTGGGAACAGCGAGGAGGCATTCACCGGGGGGGCCGGGCACGAGGCTGCCGGCCGGGCTCCGGTGCCGCGCCCCGGGAAGGGCCGCCCGGGTCCCCAGCCCGCGGGGCCTCCGCGCTGCGGCGGACTACTATTAAATTAATACAGTTTACTCTGTATAGTAGAAATTTATATTTACATTTTAGTGTTAATGACACATTTTCCTTTCCTTCCTTCCTTCTCTTCCTTCCCTTCCTTTGTGGAAAAAAGCTTTGCATACTGTTTTATTCCTTGTTTTCACTTAACAACCAATTATCAACGTATTTCTGTTATTTCACAACATCATTTTGATGGCCACATACAGCTTTGTTGTATGGATGAAACATAATTTAATTAGCAACCCTCTATTTTGGGGCACTTGTTTTCAGTTTTTTTATTTTTTAATTATTATAAATATTACATTTTGGACATTTTATTAATATAATTTTATGCATAATTTTGATTCTTTTATTAGAATATATTATTTGTTGAATCTTAAGTATGCAACATTTTTAATTTTTTAAAAACTTGCCAAACTATGTTCTCCCAGAAATATTATTTTATACTCTTACCCTTGTCTAGTCTGTTAATATTTTTTAAAAATTTAACAAATTTGATTGGTGCAATGTTATTTAATTGCTTTAATTTGCATTTGTTTCAGTAGTATTGAAGTTTAACTCTTAAAAAGTACATATTAGCTCTTTTTTCTCTTTTGTAAAATTTCTATTTATTTTCTTTGCCTACTTTTCTATTGCTGTGATCACGTTCTCTTGCTCGGGCCGGCCAGGGAGAAGAAGAACGTTTTCCAGGCGCCTTCCCCCTCGCCGGGGCCGGACAGCTCCATCTACAGCCCGTAGGAGCAAACAGTCCCCTTCGGCGGCGCTCCCCGCCCCTCCGCCGCCAGCGCGCCAGCCAATGATGGCCTCGGAGCTCCTGGCCGCCTGCGGGCACCGGCCGGGGCCACTCCCGGGCCGGGGCCGCCTCCGTCCCCGAAGCGGAGATGCGGCGGCTCGGCCGGGGGTCGGGGGTCCCGCAGTCTGGGACGGCCTGCCTTAATGTCCCAAACCACGCTGGGTCCTGGACCGTGGGCTTGATTTCTATTAATTCTGCAAATGCCTCCCTAGAGAAAATGGTGCCCGACCCTTTTGAAAATTTTGCAAGAGTGATTCTGTCTTCAGATACTTTCTTCTGGCCTTTACCCTTCCCTCACTCCTTTGCAGGCTTTATCTCCCCACTCACCCTCCTCCGGGTCCACACTTACCTGTACCAATCCCAGGGCCTTTGCACTAGTCCGGATGATAGAGAAGTGAGCTGTGCTGACGTGCCCAAAGAGGACTGATCTCTTCCTCCAGGCAAGGTGCACTGCGTTTGAACAGAGGCCTCTTCAAACACCTTTAAGTGCAGGTTAATGTCACTTTGAAATATCAGGCCAAGTCAGAGGAGGAACCAGGGAGAGGCCAGGACAGGCCAATGGAGAATATAGGAGAGGGGAAAATTAACTCATTCCACAAATATTTACCTATGTGCTAGGTACCGTTTAGGCAAAGGATGGGCTTTGCAGTTGCATACCCTGAATTTAAATTCCAAAATCACCACTCACTAGCCATGACTGAGCAATTTATTTCACTTCTCTGATCCTCACTTATTCTCCTCACATATAAAGAAAATAATGCGCACTCTATTTTAATGTGGTAAAAATTAAATAGATGAGAATAGTGCCTGGCACAAAGTAGGAACCCAGCAAAGATAGTTATTACCCCACCCTCCTGCCCTAAAGATAAGTTCTTTTTCTTTTTTTTTTTTTAAAGATGACCGGTAAGGGGATCTCAACCCTTGGCTTGGTGTTGTCAACACCACGCTCAGCCAGTGAGCCAACCAGCCATCCCTATATGGGATCCGAACCCGTGGCCTTGGTGTTATCAGCACCGCACTCTCCCGAGTGAGCCACGGGCCGGCCCCCAAAGATAAGTTCTAATAATTATCTTCAAATAGTGTCTGCTTTGTCTTCCTATGTGACCAGTCCCTATCTTGTTAAGGGCAGAGATCTGTAAGGTTTCTCACTCTGGGTATAAGCAGACCTGCTGGTACATTATCAGCCCAAATAAGACATGTGCCTAGAGTGCCATATTCAGAAGGACAATTATCAGGTATTTTCTGTTTGGGCACACTCCCAGGTTATAGAAATGAGTATTTCAGGGCCGGCCCGGTGGCGCACTGGATAGTGCGCCACTTGGGAAGCGCGGCGGCGCTCCCGCCCGAGGGTTCGGATCCCACATACGGACTGGTTCCCGCTCACTGGCTGAGGGGGGCGCGGGGGCAACGCCGAGGGTTGCAATCCC